ATGCCCAGTATATAAACTGGGGGGAGTTGGCCAGGCTGGGCACATCACTGCTCAGGAACTAACTGGGCATCCGTCAGCAAGTGGAGAGCAATCGCGTTGTGCGTCAGTTGTTTTGTATATTCCAATTCTTTTATTATTATTATTGTCATTTTATTATTGTTATTATCACTATTAGTTTCTTCCTTTCTGTCCTATTAAACTGTTCTTGTCTCAACCCACGAGTTTTACCTTTTTCCTCCCGATTCTCTCCCCCATGCCACTGGGTGGGGGGGAAGTGAGTGAGCAGCTGCCTGGTGCTTAGTTGCTGGCTGGGGTTAAACCACGACAGTAATTCAAATAAAAACAAAATACAAGTATTCTTTCTTCATTGAAAATGTAAAAAAAAACAAAGCCCATGACACTGGGAGGACATTTGAATGTTGCATAAATATTATATAGATTAAATTTCCTTTTAAATCCCAAAAGCAAGGCTTCTTAATGGGATACATTTCTCTAGAGGTGATGCACCATTCTCTGGTGATATTGTCATTCATATCTCATTCAGTCACATCCAGGCATTGGACTGCATATAGCTGTTTGCTAGTGCATCTGTCGCTGCCCCACGCATGGCATTGACTGAGCTGCAGTTGGGTACGTGTGCTGTTACCTCCCTAAATATACGAAGTAGAGTAATGAAGTACCTTCAGTCACTTCCCTGGATGTTGTTGCTCTTCAAATGCGGTGTGACAGCAGTACTGGCAGCCGAGGGGCTTGGCAAGATGAGGATGTGCCATGCCTCTCCGAAAGGCAGTGAACAGATGTAACACACTGAAAACACGTCTTGAAAATACCTCTAGCTGTAGCCACTTAGATTTGGCAGATTGGAAAGATTCCTCTTCTAACTTAAAAACTTCGTTTTCAGGCTGAACTTACAATTGGTGTGTAGGATGTTATGAATAGTAGAACTTCCTTCCTGGCATAGGCACATGGACTACTGAATGAAATCCTCCTCTTTTTAGATTGTTTGGTTCAGAGCATGAATGCTGGGCATAAATCAGGACCTAGATGTATAAATCCTCAAAACACTTTGTTATAATATTATAGTAACAAATTCTATTGAGTGCTCATACTTTCAGAGGGATTACCTCCATGAATAATGGATTTTCATTTGTAAGGTTTTATTGGCTGGAAATTATTGCGACATTTCAAACCATGTGGTAGTGGATTGCCCCAATTTGGGATAACTACATCCTGGGGGTATTTAGTGTCTTCTTTATTGTATGGATTAATCTCTAGCTGCTGTGTTTTGAGGCTTAAAGGTAAGTACCATGTAGCTATAGTTTTTTTAAAAAAATAAAGCTTTGGATGCTTTTGATGCAAATTTCCTAACAAATCTTTGGGAAGCCCAGTTTGACCTGAACCTCTGATGTCTTGCTAACGTGATTCTGCATTTTCTTGCGGAAAAAAAATCTGGGGTTTGCTTTAGATTTTTCTGACTTTGTAAAATTATTGAATATGACATGGTATTTTCAGATAATTCATTCTTGTATCAGCTGGAAAACTTAGAAGCTAATGAATGCTGTGAGTATATTCACATCCAATTTAGACTTACCTGTCAAAACATCTTTGTATATGTGTATTTCTCTGCACATACATAGAGATCCATACATAAACACGCCACATAAAGAGTGCTAATGTTAACTTGTAAGAAAACTGTGAAGTGTTACCCTGGAAGAAGTAAGCAGGAGAAAATTACTTGAGGGAATGATGGAACTGAGTGATATTGGTCACCTTATTTCTGTCGAGTAGTCTCAGCATCTTGCAAAGCAGGGATCTTGGGAACTGTGTAATTCTCCTGTGATTAATCTTCTGATCAATCAGCTAATGCAGTTATAGTTTAATGTTTGGTTCTAATCAGTAGAGCCATCTGGGAATACTGCATTTATAAAAATTGAAATATTTTATAGCTCTAAGAGTCTTTGCCATGTTGTGTATTTTCTATATAATGATATATCACATATAGGTATTTAGAGATATAATTTATAGAATCTACTAAGTGTTGTGTGTCATGCAGTTTCAGTTTTCCATATGGTTTTTAATTTGTCTGGAGAGAAGAAAAGCAAATATTACCTTCCAGAGACTTTGATACAATAATGCGAAAAACCTGCACCCCACTGAAGCGATCGAGTGAATTGTATATACTCTATCCTCTGAAGTAGCAGCAAGATATTAGCCATTATTCCCAGAGTTGTGCTTGACCTCCCTGATCCGACTGATGGAGTGGGGGGGGGGGGGGGGGGGGAGAAAAAAAGGTTTTGTCATGGGCCGGTACTGAGATTAAATGAAAGTAGCTGTGCTGGTCTGAACTGCTTTCAAATTAAAACAAAAAATCAACCCAGGAAGACAAGAAAAGTACTAAAAAGGTTGAAGATGGAGAGAAAGCACAGGAAACACTCCTCAAGTAACAACAATTTTCTTTGTAGTAAAATAGTTCATGTAGCTAAGTTGAAAAAAATTCAACCATTCCTCTGTAGTTTGAGGAAATATTTGCCTGTATTATTAAGAGAGTTGTTTTCTAAGAACATGAGATTTTCACAGATAAGTGATACGAAACAGACTTTTTTTCTATGATAATTAACTAGTACCATTTAAGCTGTGGGGTTGTTTTTTTAACAGTAGATGTGAACACCCCAAACCTGTAAAGTTAACTTTCTATTTTCAAAATTTTTGTAGGTAGGCAGGAAAGAGGTGGGTCAAACATTATTGGAGACTGATGTGTCACAGGCTGACACTGTCCTCCCCTGTCAGTTTTTTTGGTGAGTGGACAGTGTCTGACAGATGAAAAATATTTATCTGTCAAGGGTGTGTTTCGCTGATGCATATGATAAGTCATTTCTTGCTGTCCCATTATAACCTAAAGGCATCTGGTTTCTAAGGGCTGTCATTTCACTGCCTGACACTGCCATTCAATCCTGAATGGGTTGTACAGGAGGGAGTTTGTCATTTTTAAGTGATATTTTCTCTTGGGATTGGGCTAGGAAGTGTCTCTCCTCCTCCAACCATATCATTATTATGTATTTCAGTAGCTTTTCAGTAGGTCTTTGTAAATCTAGAGTCAAATATGCATTTAGTGCTGTTCTTTGTTCTCCGTAGGTTTCTTACGTTAACACATTAATAATGTAGCAACATTCTTAATTTTTAAAATAGAGAATTTCTGATTTTGATGGGAAAGGCAGGAATATTCACACGATTTATATTAAGATACCTAGTTTAGATTCTCTGAATAGCCCTTTGCAGGTATTTTTCTTTCGCCATTGATTACTTAGGGAATTTAAACTCTTATAATCTGCAAATCACATCTGTTAAGAAGATGGTCATGAATACATGAGTACAGTGTGTGCTGAAAATTTAGTGATTGAACTGATATCCATAAAAATTGAAATGTAGAGACACTTTGTGCTCTCTGGTTGTTCTTTTATCCTTTTATTTAATGCTTATCCATGCTCCTGACTGCTGTCAGCACTGCTGACATTTACAGATGGATGCATGCATCTTTCTTGGGTTTACTTCAAAAAAAAAAAAAGATGTTCTGGCTTGGAGCCTATGCCATGTGCTCCTTATACCTGAAATTAATACAAACTGGTCAAAAGCATTACTGTCATTGTTACTGAAAATCATGTATATAATGTAACTCTGTAAAGTGTTGCTAATGTTAAAACCCCTTTTTTTTGATTTTGCCTTGGTGCAGGTGGAAGAGGGATGGTGGGAAGGTATACTCAATGGAAAGACTGGCATGTTTCCTTCCAACTTCATAAAGGAACTGTCTGATTCTGATGATGTTGGAATAGCACAGGAAGAGCAAGTAAAGCCAAGTAAGGGAAAAAATATTATTGATGTTCTGTATGTATGTCTGTGTCTTTACCCCTAACAGATTGATAGGGTAGCACATTCTTATCTCTTGCTTGGAAGCGTTTTTGAATGCCATGTTCTTAATTTATGCTGTGAAAGGGTCAGATGATGATGATGATAAGTGTGTACTTGCAATGCTACCTGAGTTGTAATATTGGCAACGCTCCCTGAGCTGTGTTAAGACTTGCCAAGCTGCAACAGACCAAGAACAGAGAAGGCAATGATGATTATTGGATTTGTATTTCAAGATTAATTACAAGGCTTTTTTTGTCTTTCGATGTGGAAACTGAACAAAGTAACCAAACATCTACAAAGTGGCTGTGCTTATTTAAACGAGGGATTAAAGTGCCATGCCTTCTATAATGACTCCAGTAGATTTAAGGATTCATAATTATTGGTGTGGGACATGCGGCACTTTTTCCCTCCAGGTGCTGAGCATGTTACTATCACCTCCGTCACCCACTGCCCCAGCAGCCAAAGGGAAAAAGGCCAGAACTGGGACATGGACTTTGTTCTCTCACTTACAGTGGGCCAGTACTGCTGCAGGTGAAAAGCATGTTTGGTAACTAAGTTTGCAATAGTATAAGCATGGTAGTGGGTTGTCCTATTTATAACTTCCCTTGGAGAATAACCTGAACCAAAAGTATGCTGTTATATGAAATGGACGCTTGTTGGTCTTAATGTTTTTTTTCAGTTCTTCAAACAGATCTTCTTTTTATTTCCTAATTCAGTGGTCAATTCTGAATTGTTAGTGAAAAGGAAAAAAGTCAATTGTATTTACATATTTCAGGCTAATTCCACAATACCTGCCAAGGTCTTCCTATTTTCAGCACTGCAGATATTCATTGCTATGTAGTGTTCTTCTGAGATCTCTGAACAAGCAAAAGTGAAAGGAATCCCAAGATCTTTGTAAGCCTATGTCAGCTGAAATTTACCAAAGCCTTTATAGTTCACTCTGTCAGTAAGAGGTAGAAAGTTATAATACTTTCTCTTTTTTCTTTTTTTTCTCTCATTTTTCCATTTAAGGCAAATTTATCATCTTTATTCCATCCCACAGAAATGAGATCCTAAAAAACCTGACTTTTGCAATGATGAAAACTTTTCGTATTTTTGTAATGGAGTACCTATTCATGTGTAGTGGCACTGGTGACCTAGTCTTGTGGTCAGTGCTGCTAAATATATTTACAGGTAACGTTCCTTCAGACTGGAATGAAAATATTTTTAAGGAAGTTAACAATTTTAGTGTGATGGAAATGGAAAAAGGGCATTAAGTGAAGTTGCACATGCTGATGAGATTGCAAACTGCTTTCTGTAACCTGTATATGCTATCATGAATTTTGTTCATTATAAACACAATGAGTCTTGGAAGAGCTAATTGTGTAGATGTAGTTTCAGCTCTGGATTCTGTAGTGTTTGGTACTCTATAAATGAACAAGGTAAGTGATACTGTTTAGGATGCAATACCCCAATTTTATCTGTATGAATGTATGAATATTCCTTCCCCAGGTAATTTGGTAATGTTTACTTTATAATAAGCATCCTAAAAATGTCTTTTAACAAAAACATATATTGGGGTGTGTAAAAGCAGCCACAAAGCATTAGCTTGTTTTGTTACCATCCATAATGGCACGTGCTTACTTCAAACTCAGTTTTGTGCGCTGGTTCTGACTGTCAGTAGAAACTAAAACCTGTGATACTTGTATTGAAAAGATATCGGTAACACAGATAGCATTTTTGTCTCTTTAACTAAATTGAAGATAACTGTAGTTGAGAGATGGGTTTTCTTCTTTCTTGTATGTAATTTAACTCTTTGGAGGTGCTTTGTGGCTAGCTAAGGTGATGTGTTATTAGGAGCTATTTTCTAAATGGCAAAATATCTATAAAACAGAACACTGTAAACCTCAGAGAGAAACAGAGACTCGAGGAATGTTGAGATACTTATTGGGGGTTTAATGCTTTTTTATATCTTTTTCTTCAAGTAAAACCATCAATTTAAGAATTGCATTCCCCTAGCAGAATTATGGGAAATATGCATCAACTCGGTTCTTTCTATATGGTATATGTAATTGTTTCAGGTGTTGCTCTCTAACACATGGTGCTTTATGAGGCTCTCTTCAGGTACACTGACTATCTGGATTTGAAAGTCTCCATAATGAGATAGCAAAAATTTCAGCAAGTTTATACAACTGACTAGGAATGATAATCTCATTCCAAGTATCTGTGCTTAGCGTTAAAACATCGCAAAATAAAAACCGAGCAAGTAAACCCTGGAAGATTTGGGCATCAGGCTAGCACTACTGTTGAAATGCTCTGGGTAACCTCTGGAAAGGGTGTACATTCATGCCTCTAGATCAACTCCTTCCTCCGTGGATGACAAGACATGACAGCACTTCAAACCTGCAGTAACTCCTTTTTGTTCCTCTGGAAACGTTGTTTGAATATGTCTGTATCACAGGACTTCGCAAGGCAGAAACCTTCAATATGAATTCTAGATTATGAAGTTAGCGCTCAGGAGCGAGGGGCTGTACCTGAACTAGAACCTTGGGCGGTCACTGAGGTTCTACACAGCTTCTTGAGGGGCCTAGGAAGGGTCGGGGTATGGCTCTGCAATCTTGAGCAGCAACCTTGAACTCTTCAGCCCAGCTTGTAAAATGGATAAGGTAATACTTGGCAGGTTTACTGTGAGACTTGGGAAAGTGGCATGGGATCTTTGGAGAAGGAGCACTGTGTAAAACAAGAGTATTTTTTAGTTAATGGGTAAATTCAATGCTTTGGTTAAACTTAGTTAAACTTGATCTTTTAATCACGTTTTACTGATGCTCTCTAAAGAGAGCCTTATTGGAAGGGCAAATGTAATTTTTGGTGAACTCAAAAGTAGAAATACAGAAGAGAAAAAAATTATATAACTTGGCTTTTTAGGAATAAGGCTAATAATTTCTCTGTCCTTCTGCTATGACCTACACAGGCCCAGTGGGGAGAAAGGTGTTGTCTGATTTTATTGGTTTTATTGTGTCCATGTAAATTTTATGGCAGATCAGAGTAAATGGCCAGAAGGAATTATCTTAGTTTCTTTTCACGCTCTGCCATAGAGTAACCTCAGAAGTTTCTTCAGAACAAAAAAGCCCCTTTTTTGAAAATGTCTAGGGCTAGTTTTGAAAGTGCTTAAATGTTTCTGAATATTGATAGTGGGACTTAACTTGCCCCTTAACTTGAAAGGGTTGGGAACCTGTGCTTCCCCTCAGATGGTGGGTGCTCGGCAAATTGGAAAGTGAGGCTGTTGCAAGATCGAAAGGTTGGGGGTTTAGGAGTTTGTTTGTTTGTTTTTAAAGTATTTGTCTCTTGTTATTAATTAAACTGCAAGAACAAACAAACAGCCTTTTATAATACATAAATGAGTATAGCTTTTTATTTGCTGAAAGTCCAACAGAATGATATGCAGGGGAAAAAAAAAATACATTTTTGGTACCAAAAGGGGTGTGATGCTCTTTTGGGACGATTCACATGTACTGGCTATTTTGCTATAAAATTTTACTGAAGACATTAATTTTTATGGTGGTATACCCGGGTGAGATTGGCAACAAGGTGACATTGGTATGTTCTTGGGCTTGCCTGGGTACCTTGGATTTAAAAAAAAAAAAAACCAACAATACACAAAACACCTCAGCTGCTCATGCCTTTACCTTCACTTGAATTTCATATCAGAAATGTCAGAGCATGAGTTACCTTGCTATCAAAGAAAAACACCCAAGAAATTAATTGGTTTGATAATAAAAATGTTATCTTAAAGATCAAAGATGGAAGTGGAATTTGTTTGGGGTTTTTGTGGGTTTGTTGTTTTCTTTTTTAATTTTAGTATTTTGTTTTTGTTAATATGTGCCAAGTCAAACACCTGATTAAGCCATTGGCTGAAAAAGTGATTTATTCAGGTTTTAGTGTCCTATCCCTTCAACTAAGCATTGTTTAAGACCAGTTCCCATGTCCAAAACATTTCTAATAGTCATCTTGGAAAGATGCAGTATTTCTGATGCTCACAGGATCCTGGTGTATATTAAAGAAATGTGAGTATTTCATTGCCCTGTTTGGATGTCAGCTGTGCTTATTCGAGTGCACTACATCTGCATCAGGAGTGTTGAGCCACTGTGAGTACATCATTGCAGTAATAATTTTTTTCAGGCTTCCCCTGCACTCCATGAGGAGGCTGAATAAGACAGACAAATAATTTCATTTCCAAGTCTCACAACTTGATGGACAACAGACAAAACCTAAGAAAAATGCATTCTGTTGGACATTGTAAAAAACAGCTTTAGCAAAATCATGAGATTCTTTTATCTGACATACATGCAGTAAGAATATTTTAACTTCATGTACAATCAGATACTTTTGTTAATATTCTCGTTGTTTTGCTAATGAGGCTTTAAAAATGTTAGTGACTGAAAATACAGATTAAAACCTCTTCCTTTCCCTTCTTTTTACCATCATTCGATCTCTTCACCCCCACCCTGCCCCTTCTCTTTTTTTTTCGTCTTTCCTTCTCTTGCCTGCTGTCAGGAAAATCTGCCTTTGAAGGGACAATTCTGTACAGAGTGGCACCGGCAAAGATTGACAGCTACAGACGCTATAACAGTGAGTGTGTTTCAAAATCAACAAGCAATAGCTTTAGTCCTCTGTACTTGTTTGATTTATCTACACTTGTAAAATGTGCCACTGCTACTCACTTACGGCTACTCTACATGCATATATCTGTCTGTAAGCTAAAGTCAGTTTGCTGCTGATGAACTTGCCTAGCGTTAATGCAATGAGAATGCACTCGTTCCTTCTGTGCATGTGTATGTTATATGTCCATATAATGTATGTGTGCGAGTCCACAATAAATCGTGAATTGCATCGGAGGTTTGGGTCTCAGCTATGGATTGAAATGAAGACCATTTAGTCCCATCGTTTTTGCCACCTGAAACATGAAGAC